TGGGGATTGGCTGTGGGCAGCTGGAGCTGGCCTTAGTGGCCAGGAGCTGGCTGCAGTTGGGCCTGGGTGCTGGCAGGCCTGGCAGCACCCTGCACGCCTGAATGGCATGGCCGTGGCAGCTGTGCAGCACTGTAGTGCCAGGCAGTGGCAATGGGGTGCAGATAGGCTGGCACAGATAGTGCAAGGGCAGCAGAGGCCAAAAGTCCCCCCAGGCTTCCTGCTGTTGTGCCCTAGGGCTCAAACTGCTTGCAGGCTTTTAAAGGGCCTGTGGCTGGGGCTGCCATAGAGGCAGCCCAGCCCTGGGGCAGGAGAGACTCCCAGCCCCAGGGTTCTGGGGCTGAGCTCAGGTAGCCCCCTAATGGCAGGGCTGACCAGGAGCAAATTTGCTCCCAGTTGGGGTCTATACATGCTCTACTGTGCATTGACTACTTGTGAGTAAATCTCCTACTTGCAGTTGCAGGTGGCAAATTTACTTGTGTGTAGCAAAATTTACTGTGCAGTAAGCATGTGCACATGTAGACATGCACACTTACTGTGCAGTAAACTATGCTACTTTGCAGTAAGCATCTTGTGTAGATGTGCCCACTGAGGTTATTCTACTACCTCTGTATCACGCATTCACTAGGTATAATAATCAATGGGCCTATAATTCTTTCATAATGCTCTTTTTTAAATGTACCAGGATTAAATTAGTTTTTTGTGGATGGTATCATAAGTGTCTTACAAGGATCAATTTCTGAAAACCTTGGTTAACTTTATTAAAAAAGAAAAAACCAAAAAAGGCTATTTGTTCACTTATTGAATTCAGGTATAGTAGGTAAAAAGTGTTTCCAGGGCAGCAAGGAGACCTGTAGAAGCAAAATGATCTTATTGCTGTGCTGGTATGTGGTCCTATTACAATTTGGGTTGAATAGGCTAATCTCTATTTCTGCTGCTGATGAAGATGGAAAAAAGTAGCTTGACTGAGTCCAAACAGAATTTGTAGAAAAGGAATTATGGGAAGAAAATACTTATTTTAAAATTTGCACAAATGTGAAACCATTCAGACAATATTAAGGTAGAACCCTACTATATATATGTATAGAGTCATAATAATAGAATATGCCATAAATATTTATCTAGCTTTAGTATTTAATCATAATGTGAGCACAGAAAGTCTTTAAGTAATGTCATTTCAAAGAGGCCTTAACACCTGTTAAGCTTGTTTCCATGGTCACTATGATAGTCATGCACACTGAGAGAGATTTAGATGCCAGTGGTTAAAAGCATATCTTTCTGGAGGCATAAATAGGGCACCTTTGCCCACTATTCAGAAGTGTTCAGCATCAGGAACGCTATGGAAGATGCAAGTGGTCAGCGCTGCAACAAATCAAAACTAGCATATCTCAGGATGAGCCTCCAATCTGAGTGGCATGCCATTCAGAAAAACTTTTGAACATTTAAGCCTTTGCCCCCCATACTTTCATAAAAAGTAGATTCAGTTTTTTACCAGGTGAAAATCCAGGAAAGAATTCCTAAATTGAACTGGTTAAAATGTAGGCCCTGGATGGTCCATAATCAGCAGATAAAATAATCACCAGTTGATCAATCTCTTCATTGCTAGCCCTAAGCACTGTACATAATTCTGCTGTTGCTTTGGCATCAATATTAATTTTATGGGATTTACAATAAGTAATTGGATTTGATTTTTATCAGTAAATGTTGAAAAACATTGATTTCAGCTCTCACATAGACCAATGAAAAATATTTCCATTGTTAATAATCAAAATTTATAGAAAGAGGATGTAAGAAAAATGATGAATGATGGAGAACCATGCTGACTGTACTTTGGACTGCAACTCCCAGAAACCCCAGGGGACTGGGAACAAAGGAAGCAGAAATGACAAAGTGGACAAGGGACCTGTGGGCAAGCAGAGCTGGGACTGATGGTAGTTCTGTCACTCAGCTGGTGGCAGTCCTACAGTAGTTCTGTTTGCAATTAATAAATTGTCTGCCCCCCCAGACCCCTCATTTTGCACAATCCTGAAAATTTTAATTGATAACATTTGAAATATATGCTTAAAATAAACATTGATATTATCTGTCAAAATTCTTTTTAAAAAGGTTAAATTGTTCAGTTTTCCAAGTGCCACAGAGACTAATAGGTTACTTAATATAAGCTGGTCTAGTTTACCATGTTCTGCAATAGCAGTGGTGGTACTATTTGTTCAGATTTTTCAGGAAGAACTCTGCTTTCATATTGGTACTTAAATGGTAATGGCTTGATTTACAAGAACAGATAAATACATAGCAGCTGCCGCAAAAATAATACGGGCACCTGGGTATTGACATCTCTCTCTCTCGAAATTCTGTCCAATTATTATTAGAGAGAAATTAAAAGTGCCAGTTACTTTAAAAAGATTTGTTGTGCTGTATGAATAAATAACTAAATACATAAATTGCATTTCTCCAATTTTGTCCAAAGTTGTAGTTTTCAGGATACTGAAAGTTCATTCCCCACCTCCGTCCCCACAAAATATGTTCAATCCCCACCTCTCTGGGGGGAAGCTGGGAGCTGAGCAGCACTAGGACCAGGGAAAGAGAGCTCCCCCATCCTAGCGCTGCTCAGCTCCTCGCTCCTAGGAGGAGCTGGATGCTGAGCAGCGCTGGAGTTGCGGCCAGCTCCCCCCACCAACCCCCCTATTGCCCCCTGCTGCCTAGGCTGCCTAGAAGCAAATTGCACCCAGTCACCCTCCCCATATATGCAACTGTGCACTAGCTAATGTGCCATTAAGCTAGTACCTGTGTTTGTTGGTACTAGCAAATGGTAGCAGTGCACCAATATATTGGTCACATATGCTCTAATGGCTTCAAGAATTACAGTTACAAAAACATGGAAGAGAAGTAACTTCCCTAAAATCACTGGCTAGCATAAGGTGTCAAGTACATGGGTGCTCCAGGGCTTAAGCACCCACCAAAAAAAATTAGTGGGTGCTCAGCACCCATGGAGCCATGCTTGCAGATATATATATTTTTAAAGCGCTTTACTAGACGAAGCAGTGCGTGACTTCAACCCGGCTCTGCAGTGTCTGTAAAGATCGGGCACTTCAGCAGGGCTTTTTGGCACTTATAGCTAAGCCTGATTCACTCAGCTATTAGATAAAAGTGCCAAAAAAGCTCCAGTGAAGTGCTTGATTTTACAGATGCTTTACAGATGCTGCAGAGCAAGGTACAAGTAATGCGCTGCCTCTTCTGGGCACATGTGGGGTTCTGTACAGGTGAGTTAAAAGTAAAGTTCTGGGGTTGTTTTGTTTTTTTTTTCTTCTTTCTTTTATGTCTGCAAGCACACACTGGCAAAAAAAACCAAAAAAAAAAAAAAAAAAAAAAAAAAAAAATTCAGCACCTATGCTGACTAGTTTTTAAAAATTTGGGAAATTTTAGTACTAGAATGTTTTCTTCTCAAAACAGTGTTCCACAGGGGAATAGGAAAAAAAGGTGCTTACTTAGAAATTTGGAGTTTGCTACAAAAAGAATCTTCTCCTGAATCCAGACCAGAAAGTTTCAGAAACTTTTTTGAATATTGGAGGAAAGAACAAGTTCTATGAGCTAACACTTATGACCAAATCTGGAATAAATTTAAAAGTTAAAAGCAGAGCTGAGTAAAAGATGATGAGAGTTCTGAGAAAAAAGATGAGTTTAATTATTATATGGAGATGAAGAAACACAAATGCTTAACATTGATGGAAACATGAAGAGAGTGAGAAGAAAAGAACACATGAATCCTGTAGACATTGACTTTGGGATGATGCATGTGTTACACCACAGGGGGGTGAAAACTGCAGGGGTGGTAGCCCCTGGTGAGGCCACAAAGCCTGCCAAGTTTCAAGGAGATAAGTGCAGGGGTTTGGGGGAAACTGCACCTCAAGCTGCGGACAAGCAAAATTTGTGACATGGGTGCTTGTGCAACTGTGTCTGTCTTGGGGCATGGGGTAGTGGGGCGGGGAGGGGGAGCTATTGCAGGCCTGGCTCCTAAGCTACTGTGTTACCAGTTACCAATTAATCATGATTCACTCAGGGACCAGATAAATACACAGTACCTAGCTACTATATAACGAGTTAACGAGCATGGATTAACACCTACAAAACCACAGACTAAGGAGAGGAAATAATCAATACAGACAATCAACTTTCCCAAGACAGACACAGTCAGTTGCACAAGCACCCATGTCATGAGTTTTGTCTGTCAGCAGCTAGGGGTTCAGGGCCCCAGAACCTCCCTGCTCCGATCTCCTTGACAGCTGGCAGGCTTCGTGGCCTTAGCAGGGGCTAGCAGGCCTGCAGCTTTCAACCAGCTGCACCTTAACACACACAGTGTCACCCATGTCACCAGTTTTGCCTGTCAGCAGTCAGAGGCAAAGGGCCCCAGAAGCCAGACTCCCCCTGCACCTATCTCCTTGACAGCTGGCAGGCTTCGTGGCCTTAGCAGGGGCTAGCAGGCCTGCAGCTTTCAACCAGCTGCACCTTAACACACACAGAGTCATCTATGTCATGAGTTTTGCCTGTCAGCCGCTTGAGGTGCAGTTCCCCAAAAATCCCTGCACCTATCACCTTGAAAATTGGCAGACTTTGTGGCCTCAGCAGGGGATACCATCCCTGCAGTTTTGACCCCACTGTGGTGTAACACACATGTGACATGAGTTTTGCTTTCAAGAATTTGGGGTGCAGTTCTCCCTGAACCCGAGCACCTATCTTCTTGAAACTTGGCAGGCTTCATTTTCTCAGCAGAGGCTACCATTCCTGCAGGCTTTATTCAAATCAGACAAAAAACAACAAAGTTATAGATATTTAATTGATTCCCCATTATACCCTATGGCTGGATCTCCAAGGCAGCTCTGAAGCTTTGGATCTGCTTCGGCCGGATTGAGGTGGAAAACCGATCTGGAGCTCTGGATTGGATCCCTGGCATCTGAAGTGACCAGATCCAAAGCCAGATAGAATAGCTGTGTACTCACACAGGCCTACAAGCCAACACTATTTGAAGGGAAAGCCTCAGGTAGAAGGAGAGAAAGTCTGTTTTAAAGTTTGAGACTCCTATTTCCTCCCTCTTTCTTTTCTTTTTTTCCTTTAGTGGGTTAACAAGACGAGGGTGATAATCACTGAAACAAACTGCCCAGGAATGGGTCTTGGCAGTTACTGGCTACATGGACCTGGCCCCCTCTGATTTGTAATTGTATCATCTCAGCATGGGATATAGCTGAGATTGAGTGTCTGGGCCTCAGTGATAGGCCTGGGCTTTTTTTTCTCTGCTGTTTTTACAGCTATGGTGTTTCATCTTAGCTGTGTGGCTGAACCCCAGCTATATGTTCAGGCCTCAGTGCAGTATAGGCCTGGCTGGCTTTTGATGCCCAGTTCAGGCCCAGTGAGGTAGGCCTGACTTCTTCTTTGAAGTTTTTTTCTTGCAGTTTCTGCCCAGCAGAGCTGGGATTAGGACTAGGAATTCAGGGGTGCAGCACGCTGTCTGGAACAACACTTAACCCCTCAAGGCCACTACATAGAAGTGGGAATTGCCCTACAGTGGGGTGGGCAATTATTTCTGGCAGAGGGCTGCTTACTGAGTTTTGGCAAGCCATCAAGGGCCACATGACAGGCAGCCCAGGGCAGATAAATATTAATTTTCTAAACTTTTTAGGGGCCCCGCGGGCCAGATAGAATGGCCTGGCAGGCCACATCTGGCCCCCGGGCCACATTTTGCCCAACCCTGCCCTACAGCATCACAGGGAGCAACAAGGGGCCCTTTGCAACACAGAAGGATCCATGCTGTCTAGCAGCTTCCCATAGCCCAGAAAATCCAAGGAGCAGTGCAAAAGACTTTCCAGTGAAGCTTCTCCCTGTAGCCCATTGCTGAAGGGCAGGTATAAGGGTGCAAGCCCCTGGAACTGCCTTTTGGGTGAGTCCCATGTCCCAGACTGTCTGGGCATGGGTGAGACCTTCCAAGAGGGGGCAATCTATTAGGGCTGTGTGAAGCTTCAGTCCCTGGTTTGATTCAGTGGAGATTTGACCCGATTCAGTAGCTGAATCTCTGAATCCGAATCAAAACAGAGGACCCTTGAATCTTTTTGTATCAAACTGGAACCCCCTGAATCAATTAAGAGAGATTTGGACATAGACACAGCTTTAAATTTTTTTTCTACATACCTCGAGGTAGGAGGCGACTCGTGAATGCTGTGATGCTGGGGCACATGAAGTGTCCCACAGAAGTGTTGGGGGCTCCCCAGTGCACTCAGCAGCAGACTCAGAAGTGGACTCAAAAGCAGTTCTAGTCCACTTCTGGGTCCACCAGAAAGCATGTCAGCTTAGCACCTGGTGCCTCCTGGGTCTGGGGGGGGCATCTGGGATCCCCCGTGGCCAATTGTTGAGCCAGGGAGGTATGGGGGGGCCTCCCCTGTGCACTCCCTGGCGGATCTGGAAGTGGACTGGAAGTACTTCTGGTCCACTTCCAGGTTTGCTGCCAAGCATGTGGGCCCCCCCCCCCCACACTCCTGTGGGATGCTCCATGCGCCCGAGCATAGCAGCATCCAGGAGCCATGCCTGGTACCTCGAGGTATGTAGAAAAAACATTTAAAGCTGTGTGTATGGCCGAATTGCAGATTCTCTGAATCAGCATCGAATCCTCAGATTCAGCCGAATCGAATCGGGGACAGTGATCTGAATCAACGAATTGAATCATTGTCCCTGATTCAGGCCAATTCTAAATCCAAATTGAATGGGACCTGCTTCGCACACCCCTACAATCAATGAACTATGCCTTGTAGTTAGTGGTTTTAAATTGTATTTAGTTTTTTTCTTTGTTTTCTTTGCTTTTGTTTCTGTAATAAATGTATCCTTTGTGTTTACATTGCTTGCGAGGAGGGGGTTTTGTTTATATGGGGCACCCTAGTAATTTGTTTAGTGCTTCCCAGGTGGTCTGGCTGGGGGCTCAAGGCAAAGTAAAGTATATTTAGACCCCAAAATTGAACCCAGCCCTAGTTGCTGCTGACTGGTGCCCAGCAGAAGAGTTACACTTACACATGGAGCATGTCTACGAGATGTTTACTGCAAAGTAGATTAATAGCTGTGCAGTAAACATCATACGTCTACATGTGCACCCCTATTAGGTTGGAGTAAACTAATTTACTCCACAGCAGGATAGTACCTGTAAAGCAAAAAGAAAAACCCTGGAAACCTATCATAACTGTAATATTTTGTGAAATCAAAAACACTAGATCTTATGAAAGAAGCTTTGAGTTTCTCACCCAGATCATGGTGAATAGGATTTAAGACTATATTTTGAATAAGCTGCTAAATATCTCTTTAAATTTGCTAAATAAATGCTTGAAGGTTATACCAAGCTTATACTAAATCTGCTTGAATCAGTCTAGTGCTAAGCCTGTATGAAAAACAGTAGAAATAACTTATTCAACAATTCAAAATATATTATGGAATTCATTGAATAAAATATTTGTGAGATATTGTTTGACCTGCTTTAGTTCTAACTAATAATACTAGTAGCCTGATTTATAAGTAGGGTAAAGCAGTCAAACTGCCATGTATTTTAGTTGCAGCAAAAAATTAGATAATAAATTGCCCAGTCTTTCCGAGTTTTGCACAGGTCTTAGTACATTCAAATGTCCAAGAGCAGAAATTCTGATGTCAAGCTAATCATTTTCTTTTTTTTTTTAATACAGGCCTTCCAAAATATTTTGATACAAGGCACAAATAATCAAATTAAAATATTTCATAGGATTATTAAGATTTTAGATTTTTCTCCTTTGATGTAAAGTGGCTAATAATTCCCACACATGAAAATGTTTTTGAGTGATGTTTCTGTGTTTCTGAAGGCTCTTAAAGTCTTAATTTTCACAAAATTTGGTTCTACTTTGCAAACGTTGTAAGGATATGCAAATTCTTAATGTAAGGCTTTTTTATTAAAAGGCTTTTTCTGATTAATGGTTATTTTTATCATGACTTCTAAATGCATTAAAATGCATTAGTCACATATCTTATTCAGTACCCTTCACTGTAGCATTAGATACTTGGTGCTGAGGTAATTTCAATTAAAAAAGGTGCAATGCACATAAACTCTCAGCAATGCATTACTTGCAGTCATGGTGCCAGTGAGCAAGGAAAGTTCAATTTAAGACGAAAAAAAAGGGCAGTCTTTTTTTCCTCTTTTCTTCCCTCCCTATTAAATATTCTGAAAATATTGGAGTGCTTCTTTTCATTAATAAAAAGTTCGATCCATTTTATTTAATTTAAGTTGACATATGTCTAACTTCCAGAATGAGAACCCATAGGAATCTCATTGTCTCCTGCTCCTTCTGTATCTTTTTAACATATTGTGTCTCACTGTAAGGAATTGTATGCACAGTTGGGGACAGCTTTTAAGTTCCTCTAGTGGAAATTGTGGGAACAAGATAGTTCTTTGAGAGCATTAAAGTAATGAATATAGGATCAGTCTAAGAGTCACAGAAAGGGTCTTCTGACTTCCCCTACTGAGAAACAAATGATACTACAGGATGTATTTGCTACCTTTTAGCTCTTTATTACAGAAGAAGTAGGGGAAAAACACATCTGAGATTTGCTGCTGCACCTCAGGTGTCTTCAGAGAGAGACTTCAGAATGAGGCTGATTTTAGAATTTTTCTGCCACCAGCCACTTTCAAGTAAATTTAAGAAAAAGGAAGTAGTTATAAGCTGCTTAGATATTTATCACCTGATCTAAAGTCATTGGTATCTACTGATTTCAAACAGGCTTTGGATCAGTCCTTTGTTCTTTAACCACACTATTGTTAATCAAAATAGCAGATCTTTAGGAGTAGTCAAAAGAATGGTGTCTGAAATGAAGCAGCAAACAGCTTCTTTCTCTTATTTGAAATACTATAAATGTCTTAATAAGAAACTAAGTTAATAACTACCCTTGGTTTTAGCTATTTGTTTTTCTTAGATTTCATTTGTGTAAATCATTTGCATACAGTCAGCTTAGTTTTGTGTTTCTCACAGACTAACCATTATGCTTTTCTGTTTGAATTCAGCATAGTTCAAGGGAATAGTTGAAATGCCATTTCCATTTATAACTTGCTAAAACATATTTGGGTTTTTATAAACCTGTGGTGGCCAGAACCAGAGGGGTTACTATCATGAGCAATAAAAATATGCTGTTGGAGACATCCAGGCAATTGTCTAGCAGTTAAGATTAGCTAATGCAAAGCTTGTAAGTTTGCAGCCCGCAAGTGGAATTTGTCTGTCACAATTTAACCAAAGTGTTAAATTTAACTGTTTGCACTGATCATGAGACTGACTAGGCCCCCAAAATAAGTAAACTACAAGATTAGCTGATCTAACAGGTTTTTTAAAAGTCAGCCATAACAAGATCTGACCATCTAATATAATTAGCACATTCCAAGGAGTAAGAGACCAAAGGGTTGAGCTTGGGCAGGTAATGCTAATTTCTAACCTCAAAGTATTGTGGTATAATTTGCTTATTGGGTGAATCCAAGTTTGGGCAGTAACCTTTCATGATAATTTCTCATACCTTTTGATCCCATAGGGTAACAGCTATAGGGCAAGATTGTGAGTGGCTCTAAAGCCAACAGATTAGCATAAGATAAGGGATAAAGGAACGTGCATATCAAGTGACCAGTTAGAAGGATGGGACAGAAGGACCATTGCTGTACCAAGCCTGGACCCCGGACTCCCAGTGTGAGCGAAGACCGGATCCTGACCATGGGACCTTCCCTGTGACCCCTCGGACAGCATTGATTGGGGACACCTGACTTTGCTGGAACAACTTGGTGTGCACCTGGCATAGAGGGACTGCCAATAAGTTGCCAACCCCACGTAGGAACTCTGTCATTCTATCTGTTGTTATCATTCACTATTAGCTCTTTATTACTGTACTATCTGTTTGTCCCATTTACCTTTCTGTTAACTGTTGTATGCTAAGCTATAAGTAAATTTGCCTTTACTTCACTCCCAACTCGCCTCCTCAATCCCAAACCCAGCAGCCTAACGGCTGATACACTCACAGTGCCTAGCCAGCCTGTGACATAAACCCCCCTATTTTAGCTAATATTAATTTGGGTCCTAACCTAGGAGACACCAGGTACAGTTTTTAA